ATGACAAACCGTCATCAGTTTGTTGAAACCACACCAGTCAGAGGTCTCACACACTCACTCACACACTCACTCACACACACACACACACACACACACACACACACACACACACACACACACACACACACACACACACACACACGGATTCCCTCTCGGTTATTTATAGAAGCCGCAGTGATTTCACTGCCTGCTAAAAACAGATCTGCTCTCTGAGCCAACAGTGTGATTTATAGATGATTTACCTGCAGAGACGAACCCACATCAGCAGATGGAGATGGAGCCGTTAGTTGAGGATTAAATACAATATGTTATTTATACAGTCTATATATTTTATATTAGTACAAACGGTTCTTTAAATAAGGGGTTGTTTTATATGTTCAAACGCTTGAACGTTTCCGTGGAGACGACAGTTCAGACATTCAAACAAAACAAAGTGAGTCACCTGAAGCTGAAGCTGCATCTTCTGTCTGAATCTGTCATGTTCCCTAAAACAGTGAACGAACAACAGCGTCTGTCTCCTGCAGATCAAACACCCACACACACACCCACACACGCACACACACACACACCCACACGCACACACACACGCACACACACACACACACACACACACACACTTTAATCGAGCCAATTAAACTGGAATGACAACACATTATCCGATGAATATTGAAAATGCCAAATGAATAATAAATTGACTCTTTCTTTGTCTCTGAATCTTCCACCATCAGTACAGAGTCACAACACACTGTGACCTCTGACCTCCTCGGTGCTACATGCTACCGTAGCTGACGAGGCTTGTTCTGCTTTTACCGGCAGCTTCAGAAAAAACAGACATTTATTTATAGCAGGTGGTGAAATCGGGGCAGCTTCTATAAATAGCAAAGAGGAAGGATCTCCTCCTCTGTGTGTGTGTGTGTGTGTGTGAGACGACACAAAGAAGAATTATCCAAGATGGTGGAACTTTTGAAACTTTGTGTCAGTGAGTTGGAATAAACTTTATTTCAAGGGAAAAGTCAGCATTTGATTCTGTACAAGCAGTTTTCATTTGAGCGATCGAACCATCGAACGTGCAGTTGCAGCACGGTTTGACAAATATTACTGATTTGTTTGAAATGTCTGAAAATGTATTAGTGTGAACAAACCGCATGCAAACTGTAAAAGCTGTAAACCATGAGAAAAGTGTCCTGCTCCACTTTCAGCTGCAGCGATTCTGATCGTGGCTTTAAGGGAAATGATGCGGGGAGCGGTTTGGCTGCGTGAGACGAGGAACGCTGCTCGGAATCAGTGCGTTCAAGAGGAAGCTCTCATGCTCTCTGGCGATGTTTCTCAATGGAAGCTGCCGTGTGGAGAAATGTGTGGGAATATTTATTTTTTACAGTCGCCTAAGAGGTTGCTGCTGGGTGTCTGCTTCCTCCAGGGAGACGTGGATAAGACGTCTAATAAATCGTGAGGAGAGGACATCTTCCTAAAATAAAGTCATTTCAAGTCACGATAAGGAGTTCAGTCTCTCGCTCTGTCCTTATTCCTATCACTTCACTGTAAGTAGCTTAAATTCACTTTTCAGACCTTTTCAGAATTGCGCTGAAGAGTGACATAACACCCCGAGGGGCGTGTGTGCGTTTGAGTAAATCTGTGTGTAGGAAAAGTGTGTGTTTCAGTGCGTTCAAGTGCCAGCAGATCGTGGGAACATTCGTGGCTGTGGGGCAGATTGGCGGTGGGATGCTGGACAGATAATTTCTTAGTCATCAGCTTAATAAAGACCAGTGAGCTGTGAATCCACAGAGCCACCAGGCCTGTGCTGCTCAATGCTGCCATTAACACACTCTGTCAAAAAGCAAGTATCTGTAATAAACTAGGCTTCAAGGAATTCATTCCTCTGCTTTCCTGCAACAACTTTGCATGAAACTGAGAAAGTCCTCAGTCAAAAGGTGTCAATGAATCGTTCTGGACTCATCAGAGAAGCTGGAGTTATAACCATCACTACTTTGTCCCAGTGAAATTGAGATTTCTGAGTTGAGACCTCGTCCGCAACACTTGAACACGACCTCTGGAAAACGACCACTGTCTGATACTGAAACACTTTGAGAGGGTGGGGGGTTCACCATCCATGCATTTTCCAATCTGAGTGTTTTCTAAAGATCTAAAGTTCTCAGCAGCAGGGTCTTCTCAGCCTTGCTGCCATTAAGTCCGAGGAGTTGGCTTGTGACCACAAGGTCACCGATCGATCCCCAGTGGATGAATCTGGACAGATAAGGTGAAAAGTCTCCTGTTCCATTTTTTTCATTACCGCCCCTGAGGTTCCCTTGAGCAAGGCCTTTGACCTCTGCGGCTCCGGTAGAGCAGCTCAGTGGCAGCAGATCAGACCAGGTGGGAATGTGTGTCACTGAACGACAGAGTAATCCTGCAAAAAAAAAGCTCAGCTCTTAGTGAAGCTTCCCTGAATAAACGAGGATTAACAAAAAACGTTATCATGCAAAGAGGTAATGTTCTATTTCACCCACAGAGGGCGTGTGTAACTATATAATCTTAAATTCACACCAGGCGACGCAAATAGATGCTCATGTTGAAAATGTGCAGAAACACTGGTGTGACACCGAGACAGCGAGCAGAGTGTGAACACCGACAGGTTTGAGTTCAGGAGCTCTCGTGTCGTTCATCCACAGTCAATGTTCTGAACACAACACTGCTCAGATCTGTTCCCAGCTACACCAGCGTGACTTCAGCTTCTGTCCCGATTTCTGGCTCAAAACAACAATGAGCTCCAACAGTCGCTGCAAACTTTACTTGACTCCCGCTCACAGAACATCCTTCACACAACAATGCATCACTGAGCGCTACGCACCACTGCTGCCCAAGCTGCTCACAGCGATGACAACAATGATGCCAGCCCCCTTCTTCAACAGCTCAGCCAGTGAGCTCCCGGTGAGAGTGATATGAGCTTCAGACGACTCCCCCACACACACACACACACACACACTCCAGGCCCCTGGGAGCCCTGCTGGTCAGCCTCAGCTCTGTAATTAGTGCTTCTGGAAGAACTGGTTTTGTGGTCGCTGAAGATGAGGATGAAGACGAGGATGATGATGAGTCTGCGGGTCACAGCCTCTCTACTCTCGGTGTTAATTGATGCATAAAGTCCGACGCTCCCTCAACCAGCAGTGACCCGCACACTGGATTCAAATCACGGGGAACACCAGGCTGTTTAACAGTAACACAGTTAGTTGTTAAACTGTAAATTCATTATGTTGTGTGACGCATTTAATCAAACCGGCAGCTGTATTTCTAATCTAAATGACCCAAAACTCAATTTACTGAGCCTGACTGACTGGTTATAAATAAATCTATCTATCTATCTATCTATCTATCTAGAGAAGTTTCTATCTTTATTCCTGTTTCAGAACTAAAATCTAATTTCATGCTTCATAATTCCGCTGCAGTGATGAATCTCTCTCAGTCTCTCATCAACACAAACTCAGTTCTTTGGGGTCATTTGAATTAAAATACATTTTGAAAAAACTGGATGAAACTCTCACTCGTGTCAGTGAACAACTCAACAGGGAATCATTACAGAGCAGCCCACTCTGTCTGTGTGTGTCTGTGTTTGTGTTGTATGTGTGTTGTGTCTCTTGGGTGATCGTGTCATGTCAACCAACTCTCTGCAGCTGGAAACACAAACAGTTGTCTGTGTGTGTTGTGTATATGTAAATATGTGTGTTCTATGTTTCCACAGCATTGTGTCTCTTGGGGGATCTGCATGTCAAACAAGTCTCTGCAGCATAGACACCATCAGCAGTGCTTTGTGTGTGTGTGTGCGTGTGTGTGTGTGTCTGTGTGTGTGTGTGTGTGTGTGTGTGTGTGTGACCTGGGAGATCAGTGTTTTTTCTCTGGAGATCTACAAGTTTTCCAAAACTAATTCTTCTTTTCACTGAGCCGAGAGCACCAGTGTTCTCAGATACTTCTCTACTGTCACACAAAGACAACGTAGGAGACTTTAAAATATAAATATTCTCTGGTGGAAAATAGAAACCGTCACTGACCTGAACTACAACTCGTCCCCATCAGCTTCTCTCTCCCTGAGCTTTTTCTCGACTGGTTCGTTTGACGGTGTCGAGCACAAACACCAACAAAACAACACAACTATAATGAGGTTGTTTGGTTTGGTTTACTTCCTCCTGAGCGTGTGTGTTAGTCGGTCAGGTTCTGCCTGCAGGCGACCAGAAGGAAGTGGGACAGGAGAGTGAAGAAAGAAGAGACAGAGGACGACAGAAAGAGAGAGAGAGAGAGAGAGAGAGAGAGAGAGAGAGAGAGAGAGAGTACTGATGAACTGAGAATAGAAAGTGAAACACATCCTTCAGCCTCATTCATCACCTCTGAGCGTAAACATCCATCACTCACAGTAATAATGATGGGAGCAAAGGCCGAGTCGGATCGTTGGGCCAACAAAATGTCAGACAGGTACTTGTTCATCATTTCTGATCAGGAATCAGCGTTTAAATCGTATTTTTAAATCCAAACCACAAAGTTTAAGAGGATTTAAAATGATCTGGATTCAATTAAGAATGTGTATTCGATGAAATGACGTAGAACTCTGACCACATAGAGTAGACGAGGTCCATGAGCCGCTGAGAGGATTTAACTGAAGAGAGCGTAAAGTGAACAGATCTGAAGTGAGCTGGAAACTCCAGCTCTTTACAGCTGCCATGATAATCGCCGCTATTCAGCAGCAGCCCGACGCCGCGCCGCGAGACGAGCATAAAGGCCGAATGCCCCCCGGTAGGGCTCGGCTATGAAAGAACCAATGAAAGAAAAAGGCAGTCCCACTCTCTGCCCTTCAGAAAAACTCAACATGGATTTAATGCGTCAACATGGAGCTCGCAATTACTGAAGTGATCCATCAGGCTCGGAGAGAGAAGAGAGAGCAGTTATGATTCAGAGCTTTCAACACACTGAGCTGCACAAACTGATTTAAAACCAGAAAAACGCTGACGGTGAGAAAACTCAACGTCCAAGTCTTTTATTTCTAATCCTACAAATTCATATTTTATAGGATCATTCAGTTTTCTCAAGTCTCAAACTATGAATCACTGTCACCAGGTTGATTGTAGATAAGTCTGTGTTCAATAAGTAAATCAGTCTTTGCAATAAAACACGACAACTAAAGAATATCTTTAACAGTCATCGCTGTGACCATGAAACTCTTCATAAATTAATCCATCGCTGGGAGCAGCTGCTGTTTGAATGAAACAAACTGGTGATTCACACAAACACGCTTCACTGGTTAAAAAAGCAGAATCCGTGAGAGGCCGGAGGAGTTAGAGCGTTAAACTGTTGAGGTTTTCTTTCTTCCCACTCGGAACTGGGACCAGAATTCATCACCATCCATCACAGTGTAATGGTGTGTGGCAGATTTCCATGGTGACGGTGGTGATGAAAAGGCTTCTGCACCACACTGGACCAGAGACGGTGATATTTCCGTGCAGCTACAGTTCTAACAGCGCAAATCCCACCGATACGAAGTCTGTTCCGATGTCTGTGTCTCCATCGCTGAAAACAGAACAACATTTCAAAGATGGCCGACCTGAACGCTGCAGTGGATCTGAAAATCTCATTTCCCAGATAATATTTCGTGACTCATACTTGACTGATATAAAAACCAGAACTAGTGGATTTAAATGGTAACGAGCGAAGCCTCAAACTATCACGATGTGCAGCTGAGATCACGTGGACTCGGCAGAGAATCAGCGGTTTACATGAATCTACAGAAGTTACAGAACTCTGTCCAATGAATCTGGCTCCAGCACAGACTGTGAACCCGCAGTCAGCTGTGAGGGATGATCTGGCACAAACACAAATCTAACACTTCTATCAGAGAGCACGAGCGACCGAGGCAGCATCCAGCTTTTCAATTAGTGTCTCACACACACACACACACACACACACACACAC